TTTTACTGCTACAGAAAAGAGGCAAGTAAAGTGGAAAGTTTGAACTGGCATTCATGTTCACTAAGAAACTATAATTTGATCAGACTGGTCAGTCATAATGTCTCTGTGGACATCAGTATTCCTGCTAAATCCTGCTGGGGTGGCTGTAGCTCAGGTTGGTGATTCAATCCCTGGCTGCTCCAGTCTGCATGGCAAATATCCCTGGGCAAGATACCAATGCCAATTTGCTCCCTGATGCATCCATCAGGGTGTGAATATATGTAAATGTTAGATAGAAGGCATAGAAAAAAGTGTTTGTGTGAATACGTGAAAGAGTCATGCTGTGTACAGTACTTTGAGTCCTAGAGTAGACTAACAACATCCATCCTGTCATTTACACTTACAAAGATGTTTGATTTTCTTCAAAAACTACAATTACCTTCCTGTGTTTCCCCCCAGATGCTCCAAAGTCTCCCTCAGTGTGAGTAAATCTGTCTGGTAAACCCAGGAGAACGTTTCAGTGACTCTGACCTGTGGCAGTGATGCTAACCCGGTCTGCTCATTCTGGAGAGCATGACTGTGTAGCTGAGAACAAGTTGGTGCCGTCAACACCTAAACATGTTTCTATTGATGTGAAACATGAGAGAATCAGGTTGAGAGAAAAATACTTCATGTTTACTTAATTAACACGTGAGGTGTCAAAATATATACAGAAACTTATTATATACACTCGAATCTCACCACATTCTTATCATATATACAATTATCATTGTATCTGTTATTTTTATTTGTACTAACACATTATCTGAACTGCTTTTCTGCTCAGTTGCACATTAAAAATATATTGTTATATATTTCATTCTTATTTTATAGAAAGTTATTAGTTCATCTTGTCCATTCATCTGTCCACAATTGATAAGAATCACTACTTCTCCTGGAATATTGATCAGATATAACCTATTGATTTTTGCTTTTTCATTCCATTTCTTTGGATTATTGCAATTATCCAATAATTGGAAAACAAATTATTGTTTTAGGTGTTTTTGTATTTACATTTCCTTTAACCCATAGGTTGTGTTTAAAGCTCTCTTTGTGCTCTGCAAATACATTACTGACATCATAATTCAAATGAATACAAAGAAACCAATTAATCAAACATAAAACTGCATCATTTGAATCGAGTCAACCTTCTTTATGTTTTGTATTCTGAAGTGCAGATATTCATATAAGGAAGACCTTTACGGAGTTCCTTCTGTGATTACATCGAAGCAAAATGTTGTTAGTTTAGAATTAGCGAGTATCATCTTTTTCTTTGTCATGTAAAACCACAGTAAAGGGATTCATCTGTCATTTTGCTGAACTTTAGTGTAAATGTACATGTAATACCTAACCAGCGGCCTCTGACTGTCACTGTCATTTTTTACTGTCATTAAAGGAAAAAAAATAAACACAAATTTAGAGGACTTTTATCCGAGTAATACTTGATTATCCAATCATCTCTGTGTATCATATTGTCAGTGTGTGACTGTGGGTAAAAGCAGACTACAGTGACCTCCTCATGTCTTTGATGGGAGGGACAAAAGGACTGAGGTCAAGAAATAAAATGGGAAATATAAACAGATAAACAGAACTGAAATAAATGCTATAAATTACACATTAAATAATAGCCTTATTCCAGTGAGTTAATGGTAATATTGTTATGTTATTGAAAATGTTCTCACCTGCAGGTCTTCCAAATGCTGTGCAATCCAGCTGAAACACAACAAATATCTTGTTCATGTGAGTCATTGTTGGAGTAGTTTGACTATTCAGTGCATGTGCCACTTTTTTGAAAAAATAACTTAATATCAGTGACAAAGTCAGTGTTCCACATGTTCCACCACAGCTTGGGAGGATGGAAAGTATTTTAATAACGATCATTTGTGGGTTAGATGAGTCTGCCACGCTGCAGTTCACCAGATGTGCACAGACTTTAAAATACAGTCACTGCAGCTCAAGGTTAGTCATGAGTGTGTATACTCAGATTATGTTATGCCCTTTTGCATCAAATCTCCATCCGCTGTGTTCCCTTCGTTTGGCTATTTGTTGTTCAGTTTTGGTGACCTGTGTGTTTAGTTTTCAGTTTACTTTCCATGTCTGTTTTTATGGTATTAGGTTCAGCTTTGTTCCCCTCAGGTTTACTCTTCCTGCATTACCTTGTGTATTTATTGATATTGTTTCCCTTCACCCTTTGTTGAGTTGTCCCACTAGCTCTGCTGTTCCAAATTTTTCCCCTGTGCTTCCTCGTGCCTTATGGATTTCTTGTTGCCTGTTTCTGGACTGCCTGTACTTGTTCTTTTCTTGGAATAAACACTGAGGGTTAAAGTATGTTCAACCTTCATCTACCACATCCTGCAT